GTCATAAATAATTTGATGTACATTCTTATATATTCATATATACAGTATTGTTTTTTAAAATCTACAAGTTATACCTTATAGATAAAAGTAACTCGTATATGTCTACTTTTGCACAGAGGTATATTCTGTTATACATATCACATAGTCGCTTTTGTTTTGGTAACTAATATATTCGTATCCTCAGATATCTCATGTCTAGTATCATGATTTTTTTTTTGATTTTTTTTGAGTTCTCTAGTCGCGAAGACGTGTATGTGCTAATACTTTCCACATCTCGCTTATAGTCCTGTGTCTGTAGTACTTTTGTGTAAAAATTAACTTTAAAGCATGCACACTCAGCGTGTTCTTCCTAGCATCTCGCTTATAGTCCTGTGTCTGTAGTACTTTTATGTAAAAATTAACTTTAAAGCATGCACACTCGGCGTGTTCTTCCTAGCATTGCCCCATTTGTAATAATATAAAATACTCAATTGCCATTGCAGTAGGTTCCTGTGTGATACCGGCATTCCTCGGCTATAAAACACGCACGATGGAGTTGCTGTGCGAGTGTGCATGTCTACTTAACATTGTACATGTGTTTATGCCTACATAACACTATACATGTGTTTATCTCTACATAACACTGTTTGGTCACACCCTATTGCCGCAGATAAGTGCGAGTGATCCCACCTCAGCCACAGCTGTGCGTGTGGTGACTGATGCCGTGCAACAGTCTGAACGCCAATGGCCTGGCGTAGTCGATCTCTTCATCACGGCACTACTGGATGTGTCAGGTGTGTGCAAGTAAACCCTAAACCCTGAAAGCCTCTCAGTGGCCTTTCATTAATATGTGTCTCAGTGACCTTTTACTACGCGTCTCGTTTACATCATATTGCAATACATCAATCTAGCTATTAATATCTATCATGCAATCTATCAATCTAATTATGAATATCTATCATGCAATCTATCAATCTAGTTAATCATATCTATCAATACTCCAGCCCTATACCCTCCGCATGTCCTTTGAACGCATTGGCTGTGTGTCGTTGCTTGCACTGGAGTGGTCCTTGTCCTTCTCCGTTGGTGTGGATTATAGCTATGTTTGTGGTTGGTATCACTATAAACCCTAAATCTTAAACCCTATGAATGGCCTGCGTATGTGGCTTGCCTCATAACTCGCTAGAGAGGTCATGCCACTCCACTCAACGTGAGTGTTCATTCCAGAGTCACCATACTACACCAAACGCTAAAACCCTAAAATGCCAAACAAGTCGCAAGGCGCTGGAATTTGAATAACTCCGAAACCCTAAAACATTTCTCCAAGGTGCGCTACACCTACTCAACCACCGGCTGTAACCGTACCAGCCGTTGCCGTTTAGGGTTTTAGAGTTTCAGTCTAGAACCCTAAACCCTTCTGTGTTAGTGCCATGCGCATTGATTGACTCCATGGGCCGCGTCTTAATAAGTTTTGCCTGCGACACAAACGCACCGTCACCTCCCCAGAAAACCCAGTGGACTCAGAAACCCTAGAGGGTGTGGACACACACAGTACAGCCACCTTGTGCGTAACCGATTCGGCGCCTGAACCAGGTTTACCGCACGTGGACACCAGCAGCGCAGAGGAAAACCACACGGACGACGAAAGAACAAAGGACCCCCCGGGTAAGCTATGGGTTTTGGGTTTAGGGTCTAGGGTATGTGATATGGGGCATGTGCATTCAAACAAGCTGTGTGCATGTGCAGACGTCATCAGAAGTGGTACATAGGCCATATACGTTGAATTGAGTTGTGTGCATGTGTCAGTTGAACAGACGTCATAATAATTGGTACATAGGCCATATACGTTGAATTGAGTCGTGTGCGTGTGTCAGTTGAACAGACGTAATAAGAGGTGGTACATAGGCCCTAGACGTTGAATTGAGTTGTGTGCGTGTGTCAATTGAACAGACGTAATAAGAAGTGGTACATAGGCCATATGCGTTGAATTGAGTTGTGTGCACGTGTCAGTTGAACAGACGTAGAAAGAAGTGGTACATAGGCCATGGGTCAGCCTTGCCATTGCGTGTTTACCTTCATCTGTGTTATCTCGTCCCATTGCAGCTGTGAACTGCCCCATCTATGCGCAACGTGTGAATTCGACGATACAAACGGTTGTGCTTGTGATGGATGGCTACGCCACTCGCCCGCCCAATGATGAGAAGGTATTTGCATCAATCAAAGTGGTCATAGGTATGTCA